GTCGTTTTTTTCGGCTAAAAACGCCTTACTATACATGGTTGTTTTTTCAGGCAGAAAACAGGCTAAAAATGCCTTATTTTTACATGGTCGGTTTTTTCGGCTAAAAACGCCTTACTATATGTTACATGTTCGATTTTTTTCGGCTAAAAACACCTTACTATACATGGTTGTTTTTTTCGGGCTACACTAAAAACGCCTTACTATACATGGTTGTTTTTTCAGGCAGAAAACAGGCTAAAAATGCCTTATTTTTACATGGTCGGTTTTTTCGGCTAAAAACGCCTTACTATATGTTACATGTTCGATTTTTTTCGGCTAAAAACACCTTACTATACATGGTTGTTTTTTTCGGGCTAAAACGCCTTCGCATAGTTGGTCGTTTTTTTTGGCTAAAAACGCCTTACTATATATTACATGTTCGGTTTTTTTCGGCTAAAAACGCCTTACTATACATGGTCGTTTTTTTTCGGCCAAAAACGCCTTACTATACATGTTTGGTTTTTCCAGGCAAAAAAACAGGCTAAAAATGGCTTACTATACATGGTCTTTTTTTCGGCCGAAAACGCCTTACTATACATTGTTTTTTTTGGGCTAAAAATGCCTTCCTATACATGGTCGTTCTTTTGGGATAAAAACGCCTTACTACACATGGTCTTTTTTTCGGCAAAAAACGCCTTAGTATACATGGTCGTTTTTTTCGGCCCAAAATGCCGTACTATACATGGTCGGGTTTTTTCGGCCCAAAACGCCTTCCTATACATGCTCGTTTTTTTTTTTTTTCGGCCCAAAACACCTTACTCTACATAGTCGTTTTTTTCAGTTGAAAACCCCTTACTATATATACATGGCCTTTTTTTCGGCCCAAAATGCCTTACACACACACACACACACACACACGGGTAGATTTATTCGCGTATTTCGGAGCAGGCTGGTACATCTTGACCATGTTTTACAACGGTGGGCATATTAGCATCTTGCGGCTCACAAGCTGTTTTGTATTATTAATGGCTGCCCGCCACCAGCAGGCATGAAATATTGCTGTGGTAAGACAGCAACAGTTCGTCTTTACTTTATTCCTCTTTTTGTCGTTGTTGCTTTTTTTTTTAATGTCGACTTTTGGGGGGCGATTTAAGTTCAGAGGCCATGTGAGGCCTGAAATGAAATCTGGTTTTGGATTGATGCTTCCTGAAATGAAATCTGGTGCTACATTGATGTTTTGGTTCCCTGCTAGCAAACATTTCTGAAATATTACAGCAGCCACTGTCACGATTGAGGTAAGTCACCAAGCCCCAAGGCCAAGCGTCACAACTTTGATCCCAAAACACTTTCATATCATAAAACGCTTAAAGAAGAAGGGCAAACAGACAAAAAAAAGGCACCAGAATCGCAAGGGCACTCCGAAACCATGCAAATACTGACTACTACTTTGCTATTCCTCATATTATTATGCTTTCCACTCAGTGATACACACACAACTAAGCCTTGCCATGAATGGCAAAAGTCCCCAGTTCCCTGAAGATGCAACAAGATGGATTCCCTTAATGAAACTCCTCAACCACTTCCACATAGTTCCTTGGCACCAAGATGGTGGCAAAGCACCACTTTTATCAAAATGAACCTCTTCAATTGACTCCAACAGTTGCTCCATGGCTCCAAGAAGACACAACTTGGTGCCAAAGTTTTACTTACATGGCTTTGTTTGGCCTGGGCACAAAACAAGCAAATAGTTAAATCTTTCCACGAATAACATGACAGGTCTCAAAATGAAATTTGCCAAGCCTCCCTGCCTTCACTGTATAAACACAATAGGCTAGCTATTCTGGCAAGCCAACTAGCAAGCTACATCAAGCTTGCATGGATGGACGATGGGTGGATGAGAGTCTTATTGGCATGATAAGAAAGCTATACTTGAAAAGGGCCGCTTGCTAAGAAAGACACAACTCCAAAACGTTGATACTTGGCTAATTTCTTCCATTTCTTACTTACAAAGGTGCACAACGCTCCACGTGCCATCTGTCTCGATCGTACGCCATTGAACTGTCGTGATTTGCCACCTGCAAGAAGTCGCAACCATTTTTGTGCGCGGAGCTTTTCTCCCCTCTGCTGGCCGTTTAAGTATTGCGGCTCAACAGCACAACGAAGAGCTAAAACGCGCCCACTCACAGACACACACACACACACACACACACACACACACACACACACACACGTTCTATCTTTTGTTGTGCTGCACTGTCTATGAAAACAAAATGGTCATAGTTATCAGATTTTTTTTTATACGTCAGTTAAATTATATTGAGGCAACTGGAGAGCCTGAAAAAGAAAATACCCTGCTCCCGTTTGCGCATGCGCGACTGCCCCCTCAAAACCCCCTTCCTCCCCCGCTGCAAAAAACAGCACCTGCATTCTGGCATTCATGGTGAAACAGTGAGTATATACAAGGAGAGCTTTATTTGCTACATTTAGTTTGTTTGTACATGGGAAGGAGAGCGTTTAAAGGAGAATTGAATGTTTGTTTTTTTTGCTGTGTGGATTGGTGCGAATGCAACATCCAAAGCCAGGCTGCAGGGTTACTTGTATTTGCATGCAAGGCGAATGCGCAGAACGAGCGTTTAGAATGCAAATATTCCCTAGCGTTTAAAATGCTAATGCTGGTGCTTTTATATGGCGACGTGCATGTTCATGAGGAGGTGCAGATGGATGCTGCCTTGTCGCCAGATTGAGTGACGAAGAGGAGGCTGCATCCATTCATTGAAGGAAAGGGTTGGGGCGGGGGGAGTTGGACGGGGGGGTGCAGCTGTGACTAATATTGCACGGCCGTCGGAGTGAGTTAATTGTGGCGTTGTCTTTTTTTTTCCCCGCCAACGCCCCCGGAAACGCCTCCAACGCTTGCTGCTTCTGCTGGTGCTGCTGTTGCAGTTGCTCCTGGTAACCTCCAAAAAAAAAAACGAGGGTTGGCCATTCTGGAACGAAGACAAAAGTTAATGAAACGTTCATTGGGAATACTATTTGAACTACAATTAGGCAATTCGTGTTTTGTTTTGTTTTTTCATCAACCTTGACTAATTCAGGTGAAGTAACCAAGAACAAAATGTAATTTGCAAACGTCCTGGCTGAATAGGCACATGCAAAGACAAAGACAAAAAGATAGATTTCATGAATGTGTTTGAAATTTTGAGGCGTGATGTGTTTTTGGAATCATGGAGCACTTACGTCCGCCCTTGAGGCACGTCTGCATAATCGGTTACGGTCCCGCGAGGGGGCGTCGTCTTAATTGGTGTGTCGTTCCCAAGTGGGGCGGCAAAACCAATTAGGGCTGGTGTCAGGTGCTGCGAACACTTTAATGACGTGCCTTCTAGCTATTTACGCGGCGCAAGGCGTTCCCTCTGGAACGACGTACGACGACTGTTACCATCGACGAATTGGCCGCCATTCGGCGCTCGAATGGGATTGATGGAGACGAAGTGCGCCCTCGACCTTCTTTCGGGGTTCTGAATAGGCGTGAATTGCTCTCGGACTTCAGAATCGGGAATCAACAGGTCCTGATTTTTTGGTGGGCATCTCCACAAGATTCGCAGGCTTGGCCTTCCTTATGGCCTGTCCATCATCTTCAAGGGCAACTAACCCCAAACAATGGAGTAGGGGCACCCCGAATATTCCCACATTGAAGTCAAAAGTGAAATTCTGCCATCAGTGGACAACCAGCAAGGGTGACAAACATTTCCTTTCTTCCAGTTTAACTGTTCGGGGTGAAGACGAGACATTCCAGAGGTCCACTTGCGATCGCAGGATGGACGCTGCAAACAGCTGTGAAGAGAGGTAAGAGCCACTTGGGGAGTAGACGTGCACCTCACGGGGTCATCTGAGGACCATTTTGTCGTGCGGAAGGCCCAAGCCCACGCTGGAGGACGCTCGGTCCTGGACGGCGTCCTTCGAGAAGGTGATGAAGAGCGCGGCGGGCCGCGGCTGCTTCCGCCAGTTCCTGCGCACCGAGTTCAGCGAGGAGAACATGATGTTCTGGCTGGCCTGCGAGGAGCTCAAGAAAGAGACCAACAAGACGGTGGTGGAGGAGAAAGTGCGGCAAATATACGAGGACTTCATCTCTATCCTCTCCCCGAAGGAGGTAAAGAAACCCTGCGTGCGCCACACTCGTCAGCCATTCACTCATAACGTGAAAATGTTTGCGGCGGCAACCTTAAGAGTGACGGCGACCCTACAGATGGCCGTGCTACAGCCAGCAACGTTACGGACGGCGACTTAACTTACAAGGATGACACGGGCGAGTCCTGCAGGTGCTACCGGGAACATCGCGGACAGCGATGCCGCTGATGGGATGTTATGATAACTTATGTTACGGCGATGCTACCGACAGTGATGTTCCAGATGAGATGTGGCTGGACGACGATGGTTACAGGTGCTTTCATTACCGACTACGACGTTACAGACTTCAACGTTACCGCCGCTGAAGCGAGAAATGACGCGATGGGACTACGTTACGGACGACGTGACTGTCCTCGCGCTGCAGACTGCAGCGTTACATGCTACGATGTGACGGACGGCGACATTACAGACTGTGACGCTGAAGTTGGATGATGGTGATGTCATGGATTATGTTACAGATGATGTTATGTAGCGAGATGCTATCAATTACATGAGAGACTATGACAGGGGAGTCCAAAGTTTTTTTGGTGAGGGCCAAATACAGAAAAATAAGCAAAGACTCGGGCCACACACTAGAGGTGACATATTGACACATCTTCTGCACTCACTTGCTATCTTTCGTTTCTTCGGTGCTGACATTTCTGGTGAATCGTGGTCAATGTTTTTCTTTGCGTAATTTTGTTTAGTGGAAAAGCACCTTTTCCGTTACTGGCTCCATCTAGTGTTGAAACTGAGAAGTTCAACAGAGTTGAGCTCAAGCGCCACCTGCGGGCCATATTCAACTATATTTTCAGAATTTGCCGCGGGCCAATAAAAACAAACCCGTGGGCCGCAGTTGGCCCGCGGGCCGTAGTTTGGACTATGACATTACGAATGCCGAAGCCATGGACGATGATGTGCAGGGTCCATTGTTGCAATAAAACCTCAGACTGGAGACGTTACTGACAATTGACGAGACGGGTCTTGGTTTCCCCACAGGTCAGCCTGGACTCGCGCGTGCGCGACATGATCAACCGCAACATGCTGGAGCCCACCTCGCACACCTTCGACGACGCCCAGCAGCAGATCTACACGCTGATGCAGAGAGACTCGTACCCGCGCTACATCAACTCGGCCGCCTACACCGATTTGCTCAAGAGTCTGGAGGAGCCTCTGCCGGCGACGCCTCCCCCAAAGCCATAGAAGACTCACGATTAGCTTCAATGGAGAAGAAAAAAAAAGGCGGCACGTGTCCCAAGGAAGTTCTAGTTGTACATCCCGCAAACCCCGGCTTGCCCACAAATGTCTATTTTTCTACACTCCTTTGCGCTTTACGTTGCACTTTTCTAACTTGTTTCCGGGAGGGGCCGCCATTCTTCGCTATCTTTTAGCAATTTAGAAGACGGAGTGTGCCTTTGGGACAACATCTTCCACACGGGGACAACTTTTCCAGTACATCCCGACAGGTGCCACATGACTTTGGTGCTGTTCAGCTTTTTCTCCAGCTTACATTTCTGAATATAATAACACAGATGATCGATCTATCTTATCTGGACAGAGAGATACCTATAAATAGCAATATACACTGTAGTTAGTTCCATCTATGTAGTTCCATCTGTTGATATACAGTATAGGCCGTGCATCTCGATACTGTGATCTGCGTCGTTTTCTATGAGGAGAGGAAAGGCGACGTGAAGAAACATGGCCACCGCTATAGTTGTAGTGTATCAGGGTGAAATGTTTGTGTGAAAGCAGTGAAATAAAAAGCACAATCACGTTGTTTCGATTGACAGGTTTCATATCGGTCAAAACTGTTTTCAGTCGATAAGGTATCAAAAATGGTGTTGGTTTGGGATTTAAATGTAATTTCTTTTTCATTAAAAAAAAGCATGTTAACACCGAGTCAAACTGACGGTTTGCAGTTTCTAATATCAAAATAAAGAGAACCGTTCAACTTCAAATAAGCCTAAACAACGCACTGGGAAATATGGATTTAAGTTGGTTTGGGATTTAAATGTAATTTCTTTTTCATTCTTTTTTTTTTTTTAAAGCATGTTAACACTGAGTCAAACTGACAATTTGCGGTTTCTAATGTCAAAATAAGAGAATCAGTCAACTTCAAATTAGCCTAAACAACGCATTGGCAAATATGGATTTAGATGATCTAATTAACAGTAAGCTGCAATGCAATTTCTTTTTGCAATATAATAATTGTTAAAAAAAAAAAAAAAAAAAAAAGAGAAAAAGGAAAACCAAAAATAGG